CTATTTTCCTGCCGTCACACCTTTCACTTGGGTTGCCTCTTCTGGATTGTGTGCAGTTCACAAGGGTCCGCTCCATTGGCCTACTTTACGTTCATTATAAGTCATTCATAGGCTGTGATTGAGACATATTTTGTGAATATAAAAAATGTATTTACCACCATGATTCCGCTTATGGCTACGTAGTAGACCGATAAGAACAGGATCAGTGACTCGGAGAGGAAATGAAATTTGTAGATCGCGATCAGCACACCCTGCGTGATTGCCATCATCACACCAACAGGCAGCCTGAAATTCATCACCCTCATCATTATCATCATTCATCCGCACTGAAATGCTGTTTATCAGTGGCAAAGCTTCCGGCGCTTTGATAGCAGACAGACAAGGGAGTGTCGGCTCATTTCCATCGTTTCCTTTTCATGATCAAAACAAAGCTGCTTGTTTACCATATATTGCATTTTGTCGCTTTTCCACGACGAATCTCCTGCAGCATGCAAACAAGCACGTTGAAGGCACCATAGCACATGGTAATCATCATGAAAGCTGACATCATCGAGAAAAACATTTGATTTGGCGCTCCGCCAAAAGCAGCCGAAGCGGGAAGAGTTCCACTGAAAAAGATGGGAATGACCAGGAATACCAACTAGGACAGTCTCGCAGCCTCCTGCGGCTAACTCATTTTAAGTTTAAGGAACGAAATATTCGGTTACGATCAGAGCCGGGTAAGCTCATTCTGCTCACTCAAAGCCCTACAATTCGAGAATAAAATCTTCTCAAATCTAATACTCAACAGCCGCAACTTTCCGGTAAAACTTGGACTTCAGAACTTGGCAACTTGCATACCATTCCACAAGCCAAATGCGCATTGGAATCGCACTACTGTTAAGAAATTGCTCCAGGCTACCAAATTGGCGCTGGGTTGATTATTCTTTGTTTTACTGCAGCCTTAAACTGAGATTATGGTGGCTGCTTAAGCAGCATGCTTATTTGTTGATCAAAAAGCGGTGAACCAGGAAGCTCTCATGTGAAAGCGTCCCTTTCTTGAGCCACAACTGAGCATTTATTTGGCTTCTGGACTCCACTTATGCCCATATGTAGATGGCCCTCGCCAACTACTGCTACTTCAACTCACTTTATTTTCTGTTGCTGGTACAGCTGCTGCTGATGGTGGTGGTGGAGCCAGAATGTTGATATACTGCGGTACAAGACGTACTGTATAGGGAATGTTGACAGCGATCATATAAATCACCATATAATCATTTGTGTCGACAAGTGTAACGAGACGCCAAAACGGTATCAGTACAGCCAGATCGATCAGAAATGGCAGATACGGACAGCAGTAGTAGAGAAAGTTTATCATCTGAATGCATAGATTTTTTGCCTCGAAATTGATCGATATCTAGAGAATCTATCGAAGCGTCAGTAATCAATGGAAATCAATCAATCACGAGACTCGAGCGCATACACACAGAACTATATTTTAATCCGTTTGCTTGGTTTTATTCTGTAAAAGCTTCCTAGTACTACGAAGCGAAGCTCGAAATAGTTCTATCACGATGCCATGCAGACAACTTTGCCCAAGAGTCGTAGTCACACTGAGTATGTGAGAGAATTCTTCGTGGCAAATGCGCGTGCCAATTTGTGCCTTACCTATGAGGGAAAGGGGGTGGGGTCCAACCGCGAAAAATGTAGGATTGCCCGTTACATCTCGCCTAATCTCTCAGCCTGGTTACGGCATGTTTAAAATTGTCTATTCATATAGTCACCATTAAGTCAACACCAAAGTTTGCAGAAAACTTATGGGAACTTCGTCGCTAGGGTGCTGGGTTACGGACAAGACACAACAAAAGCGAGGAGTTCGGGAGCGCCTGGGGCGGAGCATTTTGCTCATAACGAAACAAATTAACGAGGTGATGAGGGATTTCTTAAGATGCACCAAAATCATATGAAATCCACGGCTGAGACATTCCTTGGGAACAGAACTAAGATTTCAAAATAAAGCTAAGGTATGGGGCTCGTATAACTTCGTATAATGTATGGGCCTCAGAATATTAAGAAAGTAGCCTGAACCTCTGCTTGCATCGGACAAATTTGCTCCGCGGTAAGAAGCTGTCGCTAAAAGGTTACGCGCTAAGTAAGACCCTTTAAGACTACCAGGTGCCCGACATAAAAAAGAGAACAAAAAAGAAGAAAGGAATGGGTTTCATAGCTGCGCAAAGTCGTACTCGACGTTCCATACAACTGTTTGTGTGTTTCATTTCAGCCACGAGTTCGCAGATAAAGGCCGAAATCCACCGGAAGATAAGCCGCATTGATTTTGCCTTATGCGAGCCTTTTTGCACTTTTTCGCTGGATAGATATGAACACAATACAGTTGCTACGACTTCGCCGTTACATGGGCATCATTATATCCTTACGCACTATTACCCCACAGTTTAAGGAGTATGGGAGAATAAGTGACCATGCTGCTTATAATTTTGATTTGCGAACATTTCTTGTCATATGATTTTGCCAAAAAAAAATAAAACTGTGAGGAAGGACTCTCAAAAAAATCCTCAAAGATGCTATCATAAGTGGAACGTTTTGAGACAAGTGAGCTGGCGAGGGTTGTAAGCCATACCAGCAGCCCAAAAAAACTGAGATTCCCCGAACAATTTAGAAGTGGTCCGGAAGAATGGAAAGGATAACTCTTTCGGAACGTTTTCTCAGGCGTGTCAGCGTTCAGATGGTGGAAGCGATTGATTGGGAAGCAGCGTTGTGTAAAATCCAATTATCTGAGCATGCCTCTATAAAATGGCTAAAATAGATGAGAAAAATAAGGCTCGTCTAGACTAGCGATAAAATAACTAATAAAAATAGAAGAAGTTGTGCCTATAGCTTTGTTGAGAATCTAATCTATTTGTGGTAATGACGTTGAGTGGAAGTAACGTTATAACTCTAACCACAAACTTCCATTAGCGTACAACTTAGCTAAATAAAAATCCTTCTTATTAGAGTTATTTTTTGCTGCTAAATTACAGTCTGAGAAGTAAATTAGCCTCCATTTTCATATCCTGTGCTAATGAACAAACATCAAGGGGCAGGCACGAGCAGAATAGACTCAGTCCGCGGGCAACTCGATGTGGACTGTTTGAATAAGCCAGCCAGCTCTCATTAAGAAATGCTAAGTGTTATTGCTTCCCCATTAGGTGACCATACAACAAAGAGCCATCTAAAAATGCTGTCAGCGTTAGCTAGCGATCAAGTCAATCAGAGGTGCAGAACACTAGGGGAAGTGTCACATTCTCATCTCCTTTACTAAGGCCTTAGTCCTAATTTCGGAAGTTTCGCTCATCTCACTTCCTGTCTACCATGACGACTGAGCCCTTCCTAAGTTAGTGGCAAAGGGCCAAAACTTATCAGTGCTATTGGACGCTTTATCAGCTCTTGCCTACGTTCTGCCCTAGTTCTGAGCCCCTTTTTTATGGTGCTCAAAGTGAAGCGACGGATAATAGCTGGCGGATAATAGCAATGGGAATGTTCGGCTGGCATCGCTAAAGTAAATGAAGTCCATCAGGTTTGCTAAGCGACGTTGAGCAGTTTTTAACCGAGTAATTGCGCTTTCAGTCGGTTGTGCTGGTACGAACACCTGCCACGGGCGTTGTGGAATGTTTTCATACAACTAGAGTATGTATAATAGTTCTAAACTCCGCCTACATGTGAAGCTAGAGAAATTATTGCTTGGATAGCACCACTTAGGGGTTTGGCACCTTCATTGAAGTATGTTTATCTAGCTGTTTTATGGAACCGCCGGAAGTTACTACAAGCCGAACGCCGAATAATTTTTATGATAGAAAAAGGCATGTCATAAACTTGCATAGTGAATAACACATGCGGGACCTCCCTTATGAGTACATCCGAGCTTTTGTAAATTTTTCCAAAAACGAATTGTCTATTAATCTATCAACATCTTTATCATTACCACACTTATGGTCACTCTTCTACTGAAAATGATGTAAACAGCCTCAGAATTTGAACAAATGCTTAAGTAAACTAAGATAAGCCATGCCCATGTCGAAATTGTGCGCCCATGGTGCCGCCGCGGCTACATGGGAGTTCAAGCTCTCAGGGGTGCGCCTAATCAAAAATTCCCCTTAAAATTTGTCATAATTTCTGTGTTTTCACCGTTTGCTTAACAACTACATACCACCTAAGGCTTGCGTATATTCGGGGTGTTCAAGTCGAACATACGCCTAATATCTCGTATCACCCCACTACTTAAGCCATCGGTAGCATATCAAATGGCTCTGTGAAAATAAGGTTACACAAGCCCGTGATGTTTTGTAACAAACTCGGTTGGAAAACAACTTTGACATCAGCTGGCCCTTCTGATTATCACATTAGTCCATTGGATTATTCCAGCCAATACCTAATGCGAATGCAAGGTGTATTTCGAACGAAAACATCGTACGGGCAACCTAACCCGTGAAGTTTCATTTCACCAAGCTCTCGTTTTCAATCCTCTCAATCAATCATCCCGCTGTTTCAGCAACTCCACGATCTTGTGAGGAATGGTGGAGTGCTCGTGGCAATCGCACCCGATTGCCAGTCTCCGGAAAGAACGTCACTATCGACTTGGACGGTGGTGGTCCAATGAAGTCGATGCAGGTTGTGTGCAAAATGATGAAAGACGACATGGGAGTAATTTGGTGATTAATAATAAACTCCAGCCTCCCTGTTATCAATTAAGCCGGAAGTACTGTAGTAGCAAGTGGCGCTGTTTATCACTCGCACGGTTCGGGATCAAATCTTCGACCGAACGCCGTTTTAGGTAAACCAACCTTCCACCCCTATGGGGTCGATCAGCTGATCCTAACCTCGTCTGAGATAATAAAAACACTTGTTTGTACCTGCTGGTAGCAGTGAGCAGTAGCAGTATAGGCCAGGCCCTTCAAATGCCCTACGATTCTGTACGGAAGTCGAATGCATGGCGTATCCAATGTTAATGTTAGACAGCGTCTCATAGCATTGCTTGTGGGGCACGTACGCGATTATCGCTCGAGACACCAGTTTCTGTGAGTCATCAAAAATTCCTCCAGAATTTCATAAAATGACTTATGTAACCTCCCCTTCAAAAAGCCAGAAAGTGTCGGGTGCAGACCATACACCACAAGTGACGACGGCCTCCAGAAAATGCAAATGTTTTTTGCCAATGAAATGATTAACCTGTTACAGTTGTATTCGATCAGTTGACACAGTAATTACAACTATCATTTACTAAAAATCAACTATCACTATGAACCACTACTAACCAGATTTACTTTTGAGGCCGTCGTCACTTGTGGTGTATGGTCTGCACCGCACAATTTCTGGCTTTTGAGACTGTATTATAACTTCAGTCCGGTACCATTCGTACCTAGTAAGTAGCTGCCCTCACCCCCCACCCCCTAGACTGCCTACACTCCCCCTGGCGCACAGGTTTCTCGATGTACGGGACCCCGTGAGCCAGGGGGTGTGAAGGCAGTCTAGGGGGTGGGGGGTGAGGGCAGCTACTTACTAGGTACGAATGGTACCGGACTGAAGTTATAATACAGTCTTTTGATGGAGGTAAGACTTAACACTACGATACCACTTCGGCGTCTGTTTCTGTTTTTTTTTTATTTCGTTACCATCTAGAGTAATTAGGGTGGCTGTGCAATTTTAACATCTGACAAAAGCAACTGACATTTTTCATCAAGTTCATATCATCTGGCCTAAATCAGTCAAATTTATTGCACAGCCAAGTGCTCCTTCGAGTCTCCGGCCAAGTGAACAACGCGTGGCGCATTAAAAAAATTGATCAAACCTATCATCTTATAACCTGGGATTCCTTGACTGCGCTAAGCTTTTCGGAGCAAATTCTTATGAACTTCTTATTTTTATTGCCGTTCTTCTCAAAACTGGCTCACCATTTCAAATTATCATCAATTCCCATGACATCGCGATCCATAGAATACCGGCTGGCCTGAACTTTTGCATGATTAGCGGGCGTCCAAAGCACTCTCTGCTTCCGAGAACCCGAGAACCAGATGCTCGCCGAGGGCAAACCATACGCCACAAGTAAAGCGCCTCTAAGTTAATCTGTTAACTAGTGTTTTAGCTGAAAGAATAGAATACAACTGTAAAACCAACTAGTCATCTCATTTGCAGAAAACATTTCCATTTTGTGAAGCCTGTCGTCACTTCTACTGTGTGGTCTGCACTCACGAGCATCTGGTTTTGGAAAAATGTATAGAACTATTCGTCGTTAAAATGATTCTCTTCCAATAATCTAACGACTAACTTTCTCTCGTGTTAAGTAACAACCCCTGAATCGTAGATCGTTCCATTTATAATGATGGCCCATAAACGGCTCTTGACTGTCAATAATTTATTCACATGGGACTTACAGAGGTTATTCGTGGCGTCCTCAGCTGCGATTTTTCATCTCTTCCTATACTGTTTTGAAGCAACTTCACAAGTGACTGAGTAAAAGAGCGATAGCCCATCCAAGAAGTGGCATAAAATGTGTTCAAATAGCATAATTCACATGAAAATAGCTCATTCGAAATAACGTAAGGAAGACAGCTGAGCAGATGAGCAAGAAAGCCATTTGATGCCCGTTAATTTGCGCATTTGTCACTGTCTGTCAGCGACTGTCATCGCTCTGCCCTCTTCAACTCTACGTTCTTTCTGCTATCTAATCACTTTGCGTAAGACTGCGTCGAGGGATATTAAATCAGTCGGGTGTACCTCGCCAACGCTCCCAAAACAATACCTAACTCATTGGGCCGGCCCGGCGAACGCGGTCGAGTCCGCATTGTGCCCGAACCGTTGAAACGCACTCGAGTGGGCTGTTCGCGCACCTCCACTCGCCACGTTAGAGCGGCGGCGAATGATTAGTCGGTGGGCGTACCCCGCCAACCGCGCCAAGAGTGAGCCATGCTAGATCGCCGAGGTCAAATCTTTCGCTGCCAATTGCGCGTCGGTCAGCACCCTCAGGAGGTCCGCCTGTCTCCCAACTATGCAATTTTCCCTTCTTTGACCTTCGTTCTTATCGTGAATTCCTCCTTTAAGTGGCCGCATTAGGTGCTTACGAGTTTATGGGATCGAGTAGTTTCGTGAAACGATTCATCCAGGATGACCATTTTATATGGATTTTTCTATAACCATATAGGCTATGACGTCTTAGCATAAAACATCAAAAACAGGCTCAAGAAATGCTTTTGGCGGTCTTGCTTTGTTTGCGACAAGGCTTTTCTCCTTCTAGACACCTACCAGTACAAGACTCTGAAGAGAGTTAGAGAAGGTTGTCGGCCCGGAAAGAATTCACTCCGACATCCAATCATGTGGCAACAGCATCTCTTGCCCTGTAAGACCTTCAGTCACTTAAAGCCTTTTTGAGATAAAACCTCAATAATATATTAAAGATGCTTTTGTCTTCTCATATAATGAAACACATTGTACCTTTTCCAGCTTAGCTAGTCCGGTGTTTATCTGATAAAACTTCTGAGAAAGCCTCGAACACAGTAAAAAATTCCTTCCGCTACAATTTTTCCAAGAAGGCGGGAATCCTTTGCAAAAATGTATTGTTTTGCAATGAAATTTAATCCCTCTCTGTAGAAACTGACGCCTGACATGTGTCAATAACATTTGTATCTTACGTCAGCGGTCAGCTGAGTTATGCGTTTGTAGTGTCTCGTGGTTGCTGGGAAAATCATTTAATTGTAGCTCCTGGAACACAAAGCTTCCTTCGGAAAATCTGAACCGTATCCAGTCCCCTCTCTAGCTAGGGGAAAAAAGATCCCTCCACGTTTTTGCCGTCTTTCCAACGAGCATCGCCCTACAAAGGGGACTATTTGAAATGCATGTATGTGTGTAAGTGGATGTACTGAGTAAGGAAACTGTGTCGTTGAATAACAATAAATTTGAAGGGAACTGTTCTTCTCCTAACCTGGAGGAAGGACTGGATGCAACCCCTGATAAAGCTCTAAAGGAATCACTAGCGAATGCTCGGAATGTTCACTCGTGTTCGTGGCACAAACTCCAGAAAATCGTCTCTCGGCGTACTTGTGGATGCATCCAGACGTGACTACAGTGTTATTCGAACAATAATCAAGGGGTGTATCAGGTTTCCAACGTGCAAGCGAATTCGGCTAGAGGCGACTTTCAAATTCTCAAGGCTTCGAAGATGAGGGTCTCACGCAAACATTGGCTAGATAAGTAAGTAAGCAACCTCGTAAAGAGTTCAGCGGAAAAAAAATCAACAGTTTTGTCATGTCGAGTTTCATGCAGTGCCGTACGTTGTGATCCTTAAAGCGAGAGATTGCGATAGGATTCTGTTGTGCTCATAGTGGAAGTGAAGATGCTGAATAATGCCCTAGTAGCGAAAAAAGCAAAGAAATCCGTCAAAAACGCGCAAAATGGGACCACTTCCTCTGCCCGTTGACCTCCGATAATGGACGAGTTGGCAACCAACTAAGAGGTCGTCGGCACTCGTTAAACCATAGCTGCCATCATACCACCAGAGATCATACCTTGATTGATATAGCATTCCATGAGAAAAAATTGGATACGCGCTCGAAGTGGCATACCTTATCAGAATGATAATCGAACAGCGATCTGCTGAGGGGCGGAGCACAGGCGGAGGCGGAGCTCAGAAAGGATTGGCAGCCCCAGGGCGCTGCAACGAGCGCACCTTTAGTCACAAAAAGGCCACATCTCGATTCCTTTGGGCTCTAGCTACTGCTTGAAGTGCTGCTCGTTCTTCCATGCTGCACAGAAATTTTATCGTAATTTCTCGCTTTAAGGGCAATGATCACGGTAGCACGAGAAGCATCAATTTACTAAGGTCATCGGGGAACTACACCTTCCAGCGCCATGAGAAGGCAAGGAGGGCGGGATTGTGGTCGCTATTGATACCCTTTCACCGCGTTAGATCAAACCATGTTCTAGCCATCAACTCTCAGCGAGGCTCGCCTTTATTGAATCCCTTATCTCACTGTTTAGCTTACCAGTCTTCCACACACATGTTTAACAGCCTATAATGAGTCTCTTAGAGCAAGGTAGATTTTTATAAGGCTTATGTTAGCTGAAATGATGAGGAATTCAAAATCTGCCGAAAGCGTTACAGATGAGAGAGTGCCAGACAACAGCCTGATAAGAGAAAAAAAGTCTGCAGCTTGGCAGCTTACTTTGCAAGGCCAAGCGCTTTGTCGTTGGTTTCGCCACATTTGTGATTGTCCAGGGGTCCATACTACAGACCGAAGAGAAGCATTTACACGACCTCTGCGTGGGTTGTGCCTTTAAGAGTTCAACAGCATTTTCAGATTGCCACCATCCTGGAACACGACCTGAAGCGACCGATATTTGTAACTGGTGACAATAATCCGGGTGTCGTCCGCAAAGCTCTCATATACGGAGTTTCAACAGAGCAGATGGATCGTCTCGTTGAAGGTTTTGAATCGTGTTCACAGGTAGGTAACTCACTCAAAATTCATTGCTCATCGGTAGTCACTCGGTTACTTGTCACGATAATATGGCTGTTTCATGATAATAAAAGGTATCGGGTCGATACAAATAAGGGAGCCCGAGGGAGGGGAGGGGTGGGGGGAAGGCACGTGGTGTTGTTTATTCCGATTACAGTAATAATGATTTTCTCTAAATTTGCAAAGGAGGAAGTTTTGGGGTAGGCGTTTAAAGCCGAAGAGAAATGGATCATGCACAATAGGGATTCCCTCCTCCTGCAAAAATTGGAATTACTTTAGGCGACTGACCTATTGCACAACGTGCCCCATCTACTTGGAAGTGGCCCTAATTTTCCACTGCAAGTGTCTAGCCCTTCCACTTCCTCCAGCAAAGTTGGAATTCAAGCGAAGAACGACGTTAATGACTTCGCCCGAAAGTTGTCCAATTTTTTGAAATGGTTCCGGAAGATTACGTGGCCAGTAGAACGATCACTGATTCACTTTGTAGTGGATCTTAGTCCTATAATTTTTGTCATTGGGATCGGCTTACTAGGGGCTAGTTTTCGTGAGGCCGAAGATCGTCAATGTAAGGTCAACATAATCTTCGTCACAGAGGAACCCACACAAATGAAAGCAAAATCTGCCTGGTAGTAAGAAGCATTGGCTAGCATAACTCGAAGGTATCGTCCAATAGACCCTATTCCTCTACACCTTCCCTTTATCTTTTCGATTTTACTCATTAAATTCACTTAATTATAGCCACAATAATGTGGAAACATATTTATTTATACGACCTGATGGGTTATTGCAAATTTTATTTTACTCGTTTCAGTACATGCGGTTTTCCTGCCGTGGTGGTGCTCGTCTGATGACGCAAGGTGATGAACGATCGCCATCGTCTTGGTACGCCACAAGGTCCGGACAAGCACGGTCTCCAATGGGGAGATGCACCGCCATACAGTCGAATGTGTTCCTGTGCGACAAATGGCACTTGCCTGCACAATAGGTAACAAAATAACACCTCTACCCCATGGTTTATTCCTGCCTTCGCGTGATGGATAAGCAACAAAATTACGCAGTCATAATTCACATCCAAAGGAAAATTGGCATTCTTTTGCCCACATGTATTCTAAATGTCTGAACATTCCAGAATGTGCAATTGTGACTTCTGGAGAAGATGCAACCGACGAGGGAGTCAATCCGTATTCTCAGCTGCTCCCTGTAACGGGTTTGTTCCTAGGCGGTACAACGAAGGCATCGTCAATCGAAGTGGAAATGGGCACTGATTTGCAAGCTCGACGAGCGTAATTGTGGTTTCCAATTTCGTTGTTCATAGGTTCGGCTTTGTTGAAGAGTGGAGACTTACAGGACAATGCGCCAGTAAAGGTTAATGTCTGTCACATTCGAAGTACGTGCATTCGCACAAAAGAAGATTGTTAGATAGGACGTGAGTAAGGGGGGAGGGTGGAGAAAAGAGAACCATTAAGAAATTAAGTATGTTGGAGATACGTTTCTTATGTGGAGGTTGACCATGGAGAAAACCGCGGGCGAAAGCACAGCGGGAGAGGTCGGCCGACGGCAGATAGGGTAAGTCAGCGGTGTCTAGGACACAAGTATACTGCGAAAAAGTGAAATGCGGCGGTGGTAGCGGTGGAGGAAGTTCTTGCGTTCCTGACAGTCTTAATGATTTTGAGCGAACAATGTCAGAACTTTCTACTTCTGTGGGCATGCTATTCACTCACTAGAGAGATTTCTCTGGGGATCTGTTTCGCGCTTAATCGGAGACTGGCGCTTCGACCATAAGCTCTGAAGAGTCATTACAATGGGAGATGTTCTATCAATTGATCTTGAAGTTAAGTTCTCAATGGAACGATACAATAGTAGGCTAGTTCCTACGACGCGGGTGCGGTTAACGGCTTTTTGGGCTTTCGAAGGCAGTGCTACAAGTTGTTAGTATTTTCGCTTGCATGCCCTGAATTTAGGAAAAAGATAGCTGAGGTGTTTGTTGAATACTCACGTCAATAAATTAACTAGTATATAATGGTAAGTGTGTTGGTGTGTGTGGTGTGTGTGTTGGTGTGTGTGTGGTGTGTGGTGTGTGTGTGTGTGTGTGTGTGTGTGGTGTGTGTGTGTGTGTGTGTGTGTGTGTGTGGTGTGTGTGTGTGTGTGTGTGTGTGGTGTGTGTGTGTGTGTGTGTGTGTGTGTGGGTGTGTGTGTGTGTGTGTGTGTTGTGTGTGTGTGTGTGTGTGTGTGGTGTGTGTGTGTGTGTGTGTGTGTGTGGGTGTGTGTGTGTGTGTGTGTGTGTGTGTGTGTGTGTGTGTGTGGTGTGTGTGTGTGTGTGGTGTGTGTGTGTGTGTGTGTGTGTGTGTGTGTGTGTGTGTGTGTGTGTGTGGTGTGTGTGTGTGTGTGTGTGTGTGTGTGTGTGTGGGTGTGTGTGGGTGTGTGTGTGTGTGTGTGTGTGTGTGTGTGTGTGTGTGTGTGTGTGTGTGTGTGTGTGTGTGTGTGTGTGTGTGTGTGTGTGTGTGTGTGTGTGTGGAAATGTGGTGTGTGTGTGTGTGTGTGTGTGTGTGTGTGTGTGTGTGTGACCGGAAATTCATAACTTCACCCCCTTTGGACCCAGAGCGCTCAAACTTCTAGGATATATAGGGGGGTGGAGGTGAACACTGATGACGGGTGGCGGGAAGTGATAACTACTGATAGGAGCTGATAACGGACGTCGAAATGTTGATGTCACCAATTTCGTTGCACCGTTCGCGTTGACAGGTGGAGAGTTTGCACTCATGTATGATATGTGGGTGAGGCGGGGACCAAGAAGTTGAGTGAACGAATGTGGTAGCAACTGATAAGAACTGATAAGGGCGTCAAAGTGTGGATACCACCAGTTTCGTTGCGGCCCTTGCGGTTACATTGGAACCTTGGCTCTCACATGTGGTATAGGGGATGGGACGGGAACACGGATAGCGGATGATTAGAAGTGATAACAAGCGGTAACGAACGGTGGTGGATAGGAAGTTAGGATTTTGAAGTACTGTAGTTCGTTGCAGCTTCGGTGGTGAGGAAGAGGTTATTTGGTGCTGTGGAGGTTGGGACGGGGACAGCGGATTGCGAACACTATGAGCTTATGACAATGACAAAAAGAGTGATAAAGGCGTTCGATGTAGGTTCTCTTCAGGCGTTTCGGGTGTGCATGTTCATATATGAGGCAAACCGTTAAGGTTTGGTGTTGGGGTGTTTGAATGTAGGTGACAGAAGTAGTTGGTGCATGCGATTGGCTAAGTGTAGGATGATGAGAGTGAGGCGCAGTTGAGCGTGCACTCAATTGAATTAAACCGAGTCCCTAGCAGGTGAATATGTTCCATTCCTACCCTTTCATCTTACGAAGCAAAGAAAGTTGAGCTGCCCAATTGGACCAATAGCAAATTTCCATTATATTTCCGATTTCGGTTTACATGCTAATGATTGGGTTTATGTCTTCATTAGACACCGATGTTTCTCAATTCGTGGAATTTATAGACGCTAAATCATCGAGGTCGATGATGAATGCTGATAATGTTTACGAAAATCATGATATAGATGGCAATTTTGTCTTCTCGCATTGCAACGCTTGCGGCGGGATACGATACAATTTCAGCAAATTGGACTGCTTTCGAATTTATGTGCGCATTTGCCAGAATGTTTACTGTTAACTTCTGGACGGTGACGTACGTCATTCGCAAGTTCTTGCGGGAGGTTTTTGTTCGATGGCTGTGTGCCCTGGGGGAGTTTTTCCCGTCTAGTTTATGTTAAAGCATGGACCAGTTTGACGCGGCGCGGTTGCGCGTGCGAGTTAATTATATAGACGCTAATCATCCAAATCTGATATGTATGCTGAATGTTTACGAGGGTTCGTTGATATTCGCATTTTCATTGCGATGTACGCGGCATACGCGGTAGTTTCGGAGGAGCAGCCAATAATATTTTGCTGAGCATTGTGACTACTTGCACAGGTTGGTCAGTTCATTGAAGCATACTTGATGCGCGTATGCGTGCGGAGCTAAACTGGTAATTCATAAGCGACTAGTGTCGTTGTTCGAGGGCGAATTGCGCGCCATACGAAGAACTCCATATTCAGGACATGCCCTTCGAGAGCGATGTTGGTGGCCACACTCTATACCTCTGGGGCTGTTCCTTGAAGTACGCTGAGGCAATGTGTTTTTATGGTGTTTTTTTTCGACACGAATTTATTGGGGCGAAAAATTTATTGCGCCTTAGAATAGTGGGGCCACCAGAAAAAACATTCTCTGTTGGGGAATAGCATTCAACAGTTTTGTGAGCTGTTCAAGTGGTATGGAATTTTGCCTCCAGCTTGTATGCACAATGTCCTTCATGCCCCAATTTTCAGTTTCATTCGAAGCGGTGACGTTCTCGGACCGGAATGCTCGTATAACTGGTGTCCGCTCGCTGTCATCTAGAACCTTTGATCCTGTGGCTTCAAGCTAAATTCAGTCATCTTCACATGAGTTTGTTCACATGGGAGAGTGCCGACTCCCTTCACTGGCTCCATCTCTTACATTCAAGGGCAATTGCAGATAGCAGATTGTATGACTTCTTTCCTCACATAAAGCGATGCTTATTCCAGATGGAAAATTTGTGGGTGAAATAGTGAATGGAGGTGAAACAGCCCAAGTTATGACCGATTCTATCTACAACGACGGGCGATGGCACACGATCTACTGGGAAGCTGACGATCTTGGAATGAGACTGCGAGTCGATGGCAAAACCACCGAAATGAATGCCACACTTATACTGCCCAACGCTCATCAGTGGACAATCGGTCAGTCGCGAAGCTTCAAGGGCATATCAGATTTAGCCCTTGACTACTTACCATCCATACCCATCTACGGCATTTCTGCCTTAAGCTAAGCTGAGCCTTATACAATAAAAGGTAAAGGTAGAGTAAAGATAAAGTAAAAAGAGTAACATTAAAGCAGCTCTCCCCAGATGCGCCGCGTATCGAATTGCCCGTAGATGTATAGAGAATGCATGCTCGAACTAGATTATGACTGACGATTTCAATCTACAGGGGTAGCCAAAAAAGGGTCCTTCTCTCTCCATATACAGCCATTTGAATAATTACACTTTGCTAAATTCAAACCGAATGACCCCAACTGAATATTGAAGAGCACATTCTAATCTATCTGAAACTTCATAACAGCCTTCTACACCGACGACATCAGAAGATTTTCCACGGGAAGGTGCACGGTACGAACTCAACGAGGTCTCGACGGATCCATGGACCATTACGACGTCTCTGAAACGCTGGTCAAAAGCGGTCTTGCAAATTCAGAGCTAGTGTCTCTGGAAAGCTATTCACAGTTAAACGATTGAAGAAATTATGTAGCAGCTTCAGGCTGGAGCGATTACGGTAAGCCTCGTTGAGCTCGACGGTGGCAGATGACGTCATATTCTGAAGACGGTGGGGCAGTGAAGGAGGGCCTGCTTCTGCTTACGGGGAACACCTAAGGAATATTAGCCGTAAAACTTCATCAACAGCGGCACCCTGTGCGACGAAAAGTTTGATGATGTGCGCCATGGGCAAAGTGGCTTTTTTGCCCTCCCCCCCTGCATATTACATAAGGTTTCTCATCCTGGAGAGCGATAAAATGAACTAACTCTAGACAGGAAGATAGAAGATTTGGTTGGCCTGGTATATTCCGATCTACAAGGTGCGCCGCAACGCTTCTGGCCTCAGTGCTCAGCCCTTACCCTCCCTACTGTACCTAAGGCGATTCAATTCCAGTGTAATGTATAATAGTTGTTCAGCTTTGCATCGAGCAGACTTTCCTCGTGTAGTTCCTATCCATGCCAGACGTATAAATCGTAATCTGCTCCTTTTGGCCAACTAGTGTTAGGAATGCACCATCGACTTTACCATATCTACCACACAATTTAGGTTCACGGACGGAACGTGGACTTGTCGGGTTATGCTGGCGTCGTGCGAAGTGTTCACCTGTGCGGAGAGGAGTTGACTCTGAGTTCAATTGTAAGAAAGGACTATGATAAAGGTGGGCTCTTTTTCTACCATTCAGTGGAACCTCGGAAGTTTTTCGACTCACAACACGCTAGAATAATTTTGGAAGTGGATGCGGATGCGCTGCTCAAACTGTTTGGTAATTACCTTGATATATCATTTCGAGCTCCTGGGTATAAGCATTCTATAGCTGCTAGCACGATTCGCTATGTACGAACTTTTGACTCTCCTTTTTATGTAGTATGGGAACAAAATAATTCACTGTCACTGTAGTTAAATAGCTCCTCTTATGGTTAGAGTCGAAGCGACAGCCTCGAAGATGATGAGCGTGAAGGTTTAATTTCGCACACTGACAAAGAATAATTTAGGATTTTACCCAAACTTCTCTCTACAGAATGTAGGAAAGCCCACTGTTGAGTTAGGAGTAACTCATTTGTGATTTCAAAAATGCAATTTGTTTCAAGGAAACATAATGTTTCAATTTAGGAGTCCATATTGGTGAGGAGGGCTACTGTCGTGAAGGCCTATGCAAAAATGGAGGTGTTTGCGTTGACAAATACGACGTTACACTTCTGATCGTACTCAGACGCCGATATCGAGGAAATGATTGTAACAAGAGTGTTACCATATGAGTTGTTTTCTTGAATGCTAGATTAGATCTCTCAACTCTACTTAAAGAGATGGATTGTAATCATGGTTTTATAATGGAGGGCAGTTGTGCGAGGTGTCGTTGTGAATCGATGGCGAGTATGGTGGCGATATTTCGTTTGAGAAGAAAATTTTTTGTTAGTAAGAAACAGTTCTCAAGATTGAGGATTACGGAAAATTTTCACCAATTTGCTTGTTTCTAAGCAGTGGATTTTATTGATTTTAGGTTCGCTTGCTCTCACTGGACGATATAATCCGGCCCCTCGTTATTCATAGCTTTCACATTCAAAGTGGTATTAACAATCAAGAACTTAAGCGACAACAACAATGGCGTAATCAAGGGCCAAGGACGCTTTCTTCGGGATACATTCCATGGGTGAAGCCGATTTGTGCTCTCCGGGCCTTCTTCTCTTTATGCAAGCCGCGTGATGGCTCTGAGTCATTCCGAAGGCGGGGTTGCGGTAAGGAGGGAAGTCCCTCATGCAGACTCTTGTTGGTTGCAGCTCTGCTAGGTGTCACTCCGCCAACAGCGGATGAATGCTATCATGAAAATATTTTTTCATATAGTATTGTGGGGCGATTAATGGTGACGTCGTGACAGCAAAAAAGTTGGCGGATGGTTAATGATAGTTTTGACTCAAAGAGTAGCTCTAAATATGAAAAGTAATGGTCTATAGACTGGCTCGTAAATCTCGCAGTTCCGTCCGACAGACATTTTTGGAAATAGAGCTCCGTATTGGTCCGACGAGTTCGACCTTGTCAGGGTAGGTGTACAGCCTTGAAGACGACTGACGATTGAAGTATTCAAAGAGAGGTCTTCACTGAGCTTGAAATTACCAAAGTATCGTTTCGCCTGCGTCGGAGTGAACATTTGAATATTGTGGTTTTTTTAACGGTCCAGCGTATTCTAAGTGTTGCGCCCAAATATTTTTAACTCACAGCTCATATTGCTGCGCAGACACTCGAGGTGCTACGATCGAGAAAAAGAAGCAGTCGAAGTTGTCTTGTATAGGCCTTGACGCCTTTTTCGCACACTCTCGAGCGGGCAGAACTGTATATCTGCAACTTTAGCGAACAGCTCTGTTTAGTCACCAAAGGGATTGATCTCACATAACGCATAAGCGCACCAATATGAACAGCTTTCGATCCACAGCATCTGTAATAACAAAATAAAGGATCTCAAATTTTCAGAGTACAGTATGTTCGTTCCGACCGGCTCATTCTTGCAAATCCCATGGCAGAATCCGGCTCACACAGACAACTGCCACCAGATTGCCATCCAGACCAGCGTCACCAACGTCTCTCTGGTTAAATCAAAAGCACTCTTCGCTGAGTCGACCTTCAACATGTCCATAAACCCACGAGGTGAGAACTGCTCGAATTCTTGTTTTCCACTGTATATGCAGTTCCTGTTCACTGTATGTGAATGAATAAGTTCGTATATAGCGGTTGAACCTATTTTTCCAGGGCACTTGACGTTGTCTGTTTATGACGGATTTTTCTTCAATCACAAAAATTCTGAGAAGCGATGGAATCTCAGCGATAACATCATGCATGACATAGCTTTCTGTGCATCTGATTCAAGTTTCAACCTAACGGTGAGCTTTAACTCCTCTAGTCTGTATTGAGGGCGGAAGTGGTGCAGTGGCAAGTGGCACGCTTACCACGCGAGCGGTAACATCCGGGATCAGTACCTGTGGTCGGTGGGTCAGCACGGGCACCACAGCCGTATGCATCCCTTAACCAGGGGTCGGTGAATTCGGTTAACAGAATTTGGAGGGATAACACTGCTTGTATAATCTGGCCCGAGGCATTGTATTTGACCAATTAGCAATTTAAACGCCGAGAATGGTACAAATGGGAAGTCGAATGCGTGCCGTTCCAAAATGGAATTTGATCACGGCGCATGCTTTTATGCTTAATGCGTTAGTCTGTATTGTTTCAATGTATTTTTTAATTCCTAAGGGCTTTTTTAGGAATCATCAGATGACAACGGTGACTCTTTATCTGCTAACAACCAACACAAAATGTTGTCTTTTTTAGAAGTCGCAGGGACATCCATAGACTTTGAAGGAACTGATTCTTCCAAATTTTCCAACGTATCGGAGACCTTTATGGACAAAGTGGAAGTGAGTTCGTGGTCTCTGAGCTTGTCAAGGGATTGCACTGTTCTAGCGTTAATCCGAGATGTGTGATGTCACGGAGGCGGGTAGGATCATCTTCCACTTAAATCCACAGACCGGCTCGACTCGCATCAAGGAGATCGCTTTGGAAGTTGTTCTATGTCGATGTCATGTAACGTTTAGGTCTTGATTGTAGGGCCACCCCCCATCCCCCCCCATCGCAATACTAAACACTTTTCTATGCCCACTCATAATACCCATTCAGACTCTTGTGAGCATCACCCGAGTTGAAAAAAATCTTTTTGCCTTCAAAGACATCCTCGAAGACGTATTTTTGCAGAGATTGACATTTTCTAGAGCTCAATGATTTCTGAATTTCAGTGACACTCGTCAACCTTCAGCGAGAACTCCTGATGATGAAGGTATTCACATCCACGCCATAGCACACGCCAAGCACCACCTCATCTCTGTCACTTGTAAGTGAAATTTGCCACTTTGTACAAGTTTGTAAGAAGTTACCTAGTTCGTTTTGAAAGACGAGCATTTCCACAGCATCTTCAACAGTGAACTTCTCATTATGGGATTTTTGAGAAAAGAAATCTAAAAGGGAGAAGCCGGATTTTGCAATAACCCCCTTTGGAGATCAAGTTCCAATCTATTGAAAAACATTTCAGCTATTGTTGGCCTAGCGGTAGCCGGCTTTTTGGCGCTGCTTCTCTCAATCCTTGTATGCTACATGAGATCTCGTCCAGAAGGCGTGTACAAAACGAATGAAGGCGAATACAGTCCATCTCGAAGTGAAGAACCACTGGTGAACGGTGTGCCAGCAGGTGGAAAGGAGTACTTTTGTTGATGTCTAAATAGTTAGCAGACATTTAAGCCGACCTCAGCCCTAGTTTCTAGCTGACGAAACTTCTTCCGTGATTTCCGATCTCGTCTTTCTTCACACATGTTCCGGGTTTAGAGACCAACTTTGCATCATTTTCATGTATTTTCTTAAATCAATCGATACGGGTAATTTTAATGTAATGTGCAGTGAAACGTGCAATAAAGCTTTTTATGAAACAAAGTGTATGTCACTTGGTTTTATAGTCACAATGTGAGGCAATGTATAGAGATAAAACCGGGTTATCGTGTTAGAATATAAGTGGCGAGAACAGTTCAAAACTTATGCGAGATTAAGAAACAGAACTGTTAAAAACGGAGATATGTATGTAGAGTACTAGGATGCTTCAGTAATCACAGATAGTAAGGTATCAACCTAATTGATGGCAGCCCTTCCTGCAATTCCTTCGACTTTTCAACCAGAGGAGTTTCACAGTAGAGAAACCTCTCCAATGAGCACATACCCTTAAGTGCAGGCAGTACGCACTCCACCTGATCCAGTTGACAAGCACCTAACGATAAGAACTTCAGGTTGCAAAAAGTTGATGTCGTGGATACTCTGAAAATATTCCATCAGAAAGGAAAACGCCCCGTTCGCCGAACTTTTTTCGTGAACTTATCCAACTTTTAACCTCACCTTCACCCACCAAATCACAGAACAAAACGAACCTCGTGATAGGATTTTCATTGGCTGTGAGAGATTCGAGGTTAGGCAGCAACACTTCATCAAGAGTTGTCAGCTGATTGCCACTAACGTCCAGTTGGGTTATCAACCCTGCTAGAAGTTCCACTCCATCCAAGCTATAAAACTTTTATGATAAGATACTCTTACAAACACTTCAATGAATCAATTCTGGGGAGAAGCTTCCGTCAGTTCGAGACCAACCTTGACAGTTGAGCATTTCGGATCGCCAGCTCACTATGCTTGCCATCCATCAGATGCTCGAGAAGTGGGTTACCATCAACGTGCTCCCGTAAAACTCGATTCAAAATTTGACGAGAAGCCAATTTTTTGTAGATCTGAAGGGATCATAACTATAGTATACATGAACCAGCTTGAACAAACTCAGCTTCTTAGCGAGCTACCTCTTTCCTTTTCACATCAAGTTCGGTGGCCAATTTTCCTAGGTTTTCGAGAATTTCCGAATGACACTCCGCAGGGCGAGTTTCCATCAAACATAATGTGTACATATAGCGCGCCCACTGAAAGTAAGACAGCTAATTACAACTGCAATGAATGAGAATGTGCATAAAGAAAAAGTTCTTCTGATATGGTGAAAACTGAGAAGCAAAGCCTTCGACTTCAGAAGACAGCTACTGCCGCATACATCCATTGTAATTCTAGTTTGAAAAGTACACCTATTAGGGAATTCCACACCATAACGGGAACTGGCCGATAGTAGTCAATCTCATTTACCGGGTTTTTAGGCTCCATCTCCATTAGTTGTTTGCAGTTGTCTGTTATAGTTGTTATGGCCACGTTCGGTTTCCGCGTCGTCAAGTCAAATGCCTTTCGGAGAAGCTCCTTAAAGCACAAATATAAGCGAACGAGTAGAATATTTTCTAAATAATGTAGTCATGGAAAATAATACGAAAGACAGCGCTTAGTTATGGACGGGAATCCAATTATTGTAGGACGAACCTTATTCACATATGGTTTCTTCGAGATATCTACAACATTCTCGTCGTCAACGGTGAGACGTACAGTACACGGCACATCGGACATACACAACCAGATTCTAGCCGATGCAGGCTGAGCAGATAATGCCGAAACCTGAAAAATGCTTCAGCATCAACTCGCCACATAAAAGTGCAAAAAAATTTATTAAAACCTCGACAAACTTTTGCCGACAATAACGGGAAACTTACCACTTTGCCAAGCAGCATCGGAGGAGGAATTAACAAATGGTAGCAGTTCATTGAAGGTGCAAGCCTTTGACATCACAAAAGTGGTGTTGTTATCATGGAAGGATACTGAGAGCGGAACAGCTGGAGTTGCTGAGTCTGGCCTTACTGGAAATAAACTGTTCATAGATTTCATATCACTCGCACCCAGATTGGAATCACGAAAGCTATGAATCGTTAAACATACAGAACTCCTTTTCCGACCCCATTGTCGAGGAGCCATCGACTGTACACCCACGCACTTTGGTCATCAGGGTCCGTGAAGAAAGCAGAAGTCACTTTCTGAAGATTTTAACGATGCAAACGGTTCTTGACTCGAGATTTGCACTTTTAACTTAGACTACAACGAGAGAACTGGCAAATTAACCTTCAGTTCACTGGCAATGACGGTATCATCGAGCCGAAACTCGCCAGTCTTAGCGTTCTGAATCTTCGGAAGGAGTACAGCTCGGTAGTGCCATGCAGAGTAGTTAGAGAAATTCTGAGCGATAAGGCGGTTTGAGAATCTGAAGGAAGTAATGCAGTTTAGTGAAGGAGAGCTATCAACTTCATCAAGTAGAACTATAGAAACCGAAAAGAGAGCTTAACTCCTAGTTATCCTCACTTCCAAGGTTACCTAACTTCGCAACAACGCGACGATGATCCCATGTGTGGGAAAATTTCTGAAAAAGGTGGAGAAATTTTTGGCGAAATGCGATCACCCAATGGAAGGGTACCTGCAGTCCAGTTTGAGAGCTTTCTCACAAAGGGCTAACTCGCGTTTGATGTCCGGATGCTCTTGGCGACGCAAAGTCCAACCACGGGTGGAAAACAGGCCGCGTACGATTTATGATTTTCCTGAAAACAATCCTCAGAACTCTCGAGAGCACTGAAGACAAAAGAAAATACAAAGGATCGTTTGCAAACCTCTAAGCATGCCTGCGTAAGGAACAACTCTCCTGACAAAAGATTCTCGATTTTCTTTTTGCAATTCTCTTTACACGACTCGTCTTCTGTCGTTGACTGTCTGGTAATCGTCCAGAATGGTACAGAGATTACAGCGGCGGGGGGGGGGGGGGCAATAAAAAAAAGACATTTTGTCTCCACTTCCAGATGGATTTAAGACATTTTGCTCAATTCAGACCGAATGGTCCCAACTTATTATTAAAGAGCGCATTCCATTCTACAAGAAAATCTTTATGGTGGCCACCTACGTGGACGGCATCAGAAGAAGAATTTGCCCTGGAAACATGGTGCACTGGTCGAGCTCAATGGGGTCTTCGAAGGATTCTGTACCATAACGACCTTTACTGGAAAGCTCGTTTCGAGGGGATTTGTATAGTGGGAGCTAACGCCTCTAGAAAAGTATCCAACATTAAATCGATTCACGAAATTGCGTAAGAGCTTCAGGCTGAAGCACTTACAGTAGACCTCCTTGAGCCCTGAGAGGTGACAGATGACGTCATATTCTGAAGACGGTGAGGGCAGTGAAGGAGGGCCTGCGTCACTTATAGAGGGACATTTATGGGAATTACTCTGCTGAGGAACTCCCGTCAACGCCGGCAATCTCTGCGAAGAAAAAAGGGCCGAAGTCTGACATAGGCAAAATGTCTTTTTTTTTTTGCCCCCCCCCCTGTATATAATTACGAAGGGTTATAAAGATCCATTGAACTGGCAAAATAATGAATTGAAAAGGGTAACTGCATTAGCTTTAATGGAGCCCTGTGCTACAACAAGCTTCACGGAGAATCACTACGGGTGACACTTTTCTTTTGGAGCGACACTGGTCCGGAGGATCCGATTTCTCTCGAATCAAGCTAATCGCTCTCGTGGATCGTGTGGCTGAACAACGCCTGAGTAGAGGGACAGATTAAGGATAGAGCACTCGGTGTTGCTCGACCCTTTTTTTAGTATGCGTCACGCGCCTACTTGCTTAGGAGTCGTAGTGGGATTTTGAATGCGATTTGGCCTATACAATGATCTGCGGAGACCAGCCAGTGCACACTCCAGCGTTTTTATCAACCTCGACGAGTCTGATATCTGTGAATGACCCAGTTGAATGGAAGGCTTGGCCGGCCTAGACGGTGTACTGTCCAGGATTTGATCAGCGCATCGCTTACATGATAAGCGGCGTGCCACGTGCCATGCACTACACCCTGCCCACGTTCTCACCGATGTGAGACGTGTCTTGGCTCCGTTGAAATCAGACCCTATCATATTGAATGGCCCGCCAAACGAACTAGAATATAGAATGTTTGGTGAGACAGTGATTTTGGCTCTATACCTATTCTGTCAAATATTTCTACTAAAAGTTCGCAAACGTTGACATACCACACATTCTTCCCACTCTTTGATTTTCTTCTCGATCGTTTCTCTTCTAATATTCCAAAACGTGTAAATGTCAGGATTCTTCTCTAACAACCTCTGCGTTAAACTCAAGATTTCATCATCCAGCTCGCCTGGAAAGAAGGTGAAATGATGCAATACAACGCAGACAAGAGGCGCAAATTAAGCATTACATAAACTAACGTACCTTTAGCTCTCTTCTCAAAAATGCGATCGCGAACTGTACAAAAAACCTTCAGTTTTGTGGCTCTCTCCTTCTCCTTCGCCGCCTTTTCCTCATCGCTTGTTGGGACCTTTTTCACAAAATGCATTCACCTTAATATGGCATAGGCATTACTTGAGAGTAATAATATCCTGCAGATTACAAAACGATAAAGATGATAACATACTTTTGCAATAGAAGTCGAACTTAGGGAGTGAGGTATTTTTCTCTGGAATTTTTCGACGCGCTTATAAGATGAAGGCGAATTGAACATATGGAGAATGGAGGATACTGTTAACAGGAAGTGATTGAGTATAGATATCACGGCATTATACAGGACCCAACCAAACAATACAATTATCATCAGACCGAAGCTTTGAGCACTTGAAAAGGATGGATTTTCCAGTGTTATTCCAAGATGTCGACTACGCTAGGAGTGCTCTTCTTGTAGCAAATACTTTGACGCAACAAAATCGCCATTTCAACACCATTTCGGAAGGTGAAGTTCCAATACCACATCGTCCATAATGGCAAAGTTTCCAAAACAAAAAAAAAACTCCGCAAGATAGCTGTATGAGTGCCACCAAATGTGTGTCAAAACTGAAGGTTTCGGTTAACAGAACTAGACAGGTTTCGAAAAGAGTAAATTATTCATCAAAAAAACACAACTGTGAGCCGGCGTGACAAATAGCCGTCGTCGCTTACGCAAGCACAAGGCTACCCCTTGCTGAGTGACTCATCACCAAAAATAGAAACGAAATTCGCGCGTGCCAGCAGGAGCCATTCCCCTGAACACTCCTTGCAAGAAAGGCATATTGAGGCAGCCATAAATTCACCTCAAGCGTGAAAGTATAAATTAGGAAAATCCAAAGATCAACTTCATGATTCAAGGGAAACTGGTTTATTAAAAAAAATGGGAAACTTTCACAAAAGCACGTAAACATCGAACTTTCAATAAGACTCAAATCGAAACTGCACAGATGAGAAAACGGTCTAACGACAAGCATGACAACACCGTACAGTGGAACGTGAACAAACATTTGGGCACGCACTATCACAACAACAGACCCCAGAATAGAGTGAGAAAACAAATCTGATAACTACTAACACCTGGTAACAACACGATCGTAAAAAAAAATAACGAAAATGTGCAAAACGCCCGATATCGATAATCAACCGTGGATTTTCGATGTTCGCGTTATGACTTCCTCTGGACAGAATAACACTTGTATTTCTCGTGGATGATGCATGATTGTCTTCTCCATTAAGTGCTTCAACATGACCAACTACCCATGCGGGGAAACCATCGACAGACTCCATGTCACGGATGAAAGGCTAGAAACGCCAGAGTACTTTATTTCTACTTATGTTCAGTGCCGATTATGGAAGATATACAAATCAGGCGAACAGGTAGCTTGTTGCAAGTCTTCTCAGCATTTACGCTGACAGCTACAAGCAGACCACCGCTTGTCTCAGCAGATGTTCCTCCAAATAAATTGAAACCATTTCGATTCGGCATTTTCAATGCGATCTCGTCCATGTATTCGATCACTGGCAGCGTGTCAATTACGAAACGAACGTTGGCTTTCTGGGCACGCGAAAGATTATCTGCATGACCTGTAATAGCATGGCTCTTGGTTAAAAAATTGACCAATTCTTTTCTAAACACAACAAGGCATGTTTAACTCACCAAGAAGTCCAAATCCAGTTACATCGGTAGAAGCATGAGCATGATATTTGTGAAGCATTCTTGCAGCGTTTCTGTAATTACACAAAAGGAAAATTATAGAATGAGAACCCTCGAAGAAAGTGAATGCTGAACCGACCTATTTAGTCTTGTCATTTGCTCTGTAACCTGTTGAAAAGCGCGAACAATTTTGTTTTCGTCAAGGCCTAGCTCTTCAACTCTTCCATTCTTCTTCTTCAACCATTCGTACGAATTGACAGCAACCTACAGAAAAGGGTGTTTATATGTCACTACAGCACTCGAAAAATCTCCCTAGGTTGATTCAATTGCCACATGACTCTACATTAAGACATGAACACGAACGGCTTTCGCAAAAAAAAAGGCCTGAAGTCAGATGAGGGACCGCAGATAACACGAGATTGCAGATTCAATGAAAAAATTCTGTCAAGACATAACTTGGCTCATTTAGGCATGATGATGCAGTGTTTGAATGAAACACATCTTCTAGAACGGGACCCCAGAGAGACGCCAAGAGTACGTTCAGGATGACCGGACATTAGAACACTCCAGAGCGCCAGATTATAGATAAGAAGCAGATTTTCTGCATTTATAGGTGAGTCTGCAGTAGGTGTTCGTTGATGGAAGTTAACAAGGAACCGCAATGGAACTGGAAAATGAGTAAAATAACGTCGCATGGTCACCAGCGGGAGCGTAGTTGGATAACGATGCATTACTGAAAGCAAGAATTCCAAAAATAACAATGAGGATTCATTAAAATTCCTCAATGACAAGTCACCGCAGAAGACCCGCGGAAAGAATTTTAGGACCATGTGCCAATCTTATTGGAGCTACAAGCATCATTAAAATTCTAAATTACCAACCTGACCACCAATTGGTTTCGTAAGTATTAAAAGGTCTCCTGGCTGAGCTTGATCAACTTTGATGATTTCCTCATCAGCTGCCACACTACTTGCTACTCCACCAAGTAGAAGCCAGGGACATCGGACGGTTTGGCCGCCACGAACTTTCGTTTCGGCAGAATCAGCAGTATCCTAGAACAACGCCAATTATTAATAATTGCGTGAGCGACCAGTGTACCCCCGAATAAAGGAAATGAAAATACGTTTAGCGGAGCCCTGTTTGAAATTGAAAAGGTAAAAAAAAAGGTTGGATTGAAAGGAGGATCGAAGAAGTACACCTCAAAGAGGCACATACAGTAGTGGTCAAAAGTTTGGAAACTTTTTATTTTTGATCTAGTGTAGCCAGATAGACAATGAAATTGTCCCAAATTCACACATTATATTTACAGAATCAAGCGTAGATTACTACATACAACATAATTTTTTCGAAAACGAGATTCCCTTTTGAAAAATAAGAATTTTTATAAGAAATGGCGCGTCAAAAGTTTGGAAACTTCTCAATTCCACAGCGAATTCGGCAAAATAGCTCTCGAATCTACATGACAAATTAACTATTCGATGAGTAGCTGTGAGTTTCTATGTCAGCGTCGTTTTTATTGACATGGAGTTGACTATAAAATAATTTTAGACTTTTAAGTCGAACCCTGCACACTGTGAACTAAATCGCATTGTTTGGTGGGATTCCTAACTGGAATGTGGGTTGAGCGACATGCCAGTTCTTCCGTGGGATGTAGAACTCAATTGGACTTTAGATCTCGACTTGGTCGCTTCATAACAGCTTCTTTTTCTGGGTTTAGGAAGGCGGCAGTGAGGAGGTAGGCCTGCATTGGGGTCATTTCCACGATAGAAAACCCATCTTTTTCGGCCAGTTCTGACTATCGAAGAGAAGCATTGTATTCTATAGACTGTTCTTGTACTTAGCCCAACCCACATTTTTGCTGGATACATAGAACTGGGGAATCGCCGAATGGTCGGACACATCTCCATCCATGGCAATACTTCCACTATTTCTGAATGTTGGGATCTTACTCTAAATGAGGTTTCCATTTGACTGAACACTTCACAGGGTCCACAACATCATTTTTAGGAAGACAGAAATCCATTCGTCGCTGAGGACAAGTTTTACCTCTCGCCTTCAGTCCGTATGTTAGCCGTTAGTGTGTGCAAGCCAGTTGGACCATCCTGCTCTTGAAGCCCAACGATGGTTCCTTGTTGGGACATCACGTAATATTCACCAGGTCGTGGCCGATGTTGGGCTGTGCTTGGACTTTCATACGATTAGGTTCAAACCAGAAAAAATCGTCTTTTAGTTGGGCATATCGGGGGTACGGGGCGTGCCAACCACCCTTCGAAGTATTTGAGGAGGGCCAATTTTCTTGTGAGAATACTTTTTTGTGAATGATCATTTGTCTTATGCTTACTCGGCTCCAAAAATACTAAAAAAATAACACTAAAAACATTAGTAATCTTGCTTTTGTAGAGACTGAACGACGAAGAAACCAATTTCCATTTCGTATTCCGGATTGCAGGGTTTAAAAAATGAACCTCCCATGGAAAAACTGCTTCCTATGCACATGAATTCATTTTGAAATTACACATCACTCAATGGTTGAACTAAAATTAATGGAAACAAGTAAACATTGAAGAGTATAGGAATCATAATGATGTGGGAAACAAAAAGTTTCCAAACTTTTGACGCGCCATTTCTTGATAAAAATCTTATTTCTCAAATATGATTATGGGTTTTTGGAAATTATTCTTCCCGTCGTATTCTGGAACTTGATTTTGTATGTAATATCTAAATTTGGGACAATTTCGTTGTGTATCGGCCGCGCTAGATCAAAAATAAAAAAGTTTCCAAACTTTTGACCGCTACTGTATAACTGAATATTAACACGTCATGTCCAGAGTCGCTGCGTTTCGAAAGTTTACTCAGAGAGAAAAGAATACTACGATAGTGATGGTAAATTCAAGACCACGATACAGTTTCTGTAGTTTGAGATCTAAGCCCATGAAACATAACTGATTCTATTGGAAAGAATGCATGGCAGCGTTCTTCGATCCTTTATTGCGTTGTTATTGCACTTGAAATTGAAAACGTGCTCAATAATCAAACAAAAAGGTGTGATTTGTGCGCATCGAGGAAGCAGTAAACAAAGAAGTAATGGAGGTGAAGTTGGCATTCAAATAGACGAAAAAGTGAAGGAATATGATGAACAAAGAAGTTCTTGAGTCTCCAGTGAAAAACTGAATGTACAAAAGAATCAAGTGAATCACCGTATCAATCTGTGAGCCCAAGGTAGAACAAGGTTTTCACTAATTATCATAGCAATTACTTGGTGACCTGAGCACATTCACAGATAAGTCGTTGCAGCCCACATCCACCACCGGGTAACGGGATTTTCAACTCAACGATTTTCAACGAGCTCTCTCGCGGCTCCGGCTTCCTCTCCAGAGCTTGAGTGCTAACGGCATTCACCGCTTCCCTACATAGTCTGTGTTCCTAGCCATCGCGGCAGACCATAAGGAAAATCAAAGCTCCGCAAACCCCAGAGAATTCAATACCCGAGCCGCATACGAGGTAAACAGCCACTATAACACTACTGCCCGATTAGGTGGAATATATTTGAATGTGAGACCCATTTTTATGTTGTAGGTTTGTTCCCTTCGATTGTGAATCACCTCTTTGACAACTTTTAAAAGTATGAAATCCTTGACAACAGCGAACGCACGAACAAGTAACGACACACTTGTGAAAAACACTTCGGTCCACCATATTACTGACGGAAAGGCACATTTAAGTCGAAACTAAAACAGGCCCGTGGATAGAAAAAACTTCGAACACAATCCAGGTTCGTTTACTAAAGTGTTCTAAAATTCGGTGCATACCTTAAACCCTCTGATGAACATAGAAATGATTATGTCGCGTTCCTTCTCGCTGAGCTCCACAGCAACTCCGAGCAACATCAGCATGTTGTCACAGTCGACAATGCCCATCGCATACAGGTCACTCAGCACATTAGCGCATGTCACTCTTCCCTGAACTAAGGGGAATTGATTCGAATTGAAAACCTGATAAATGTAAAAAAACAGAATTATGTACTTCAATAGGATACCATTAGATAAGGATCATCAACCAACGGATAGAAAAAATCGGTAGTTTGAACAAGATTCAATCCTTTATGTCGAAGTGGTACCACACAGCTATCAAGCCCGATACCTGGAAATATACTAGAATGGGAATGCCTTGGAAAGCAATTTTCTAACAACTTCTTGACATTGCTCTTATTCCCCGAAAAAAGTAAAAGGAGTACACTAAAGTAGGCGTTTGTTTTTTCTAGCGCTAAAATAAAATCCGACCACAACCATGTACAACACCAAGAAATGTCACGGATTATTCGGGTTGGAACCTCACTTACAATAGTATTTCAGCACCTCTGTCAGAAATGTGTACCCGTTTGGGCGCTTTCGTAGCCGGTCGACCGGCGGTAGTAACGATCGCACAGCATTAGGTATCGTCCGATAGTCTATCACATCCGATGAACGATATGTACCTAATGCTCTGCGATCGTCACGATCGGACACCGATTTTGAAAGCGCCTTTGGACGTTGGCGCAATTTGGCGTTAAGTTCAACGCAACTTGGCGATAATGCAATGAGCACCTTTTTCCAAGAAGTTTGGTAAAAATCTGTGTACCGGGCGGGCTTTTAGCATCCCGATCGCGACTCTGACACTTGGCATTTTTTGACAATGGCGCCAGTTAGATCCAATCTGGTACCGAATTGCGTCAATGTCTGAAATGAATGCCACATTCGTGATCGGGCAAATGGACGAACGTCCAAGCAAAGTTTCAGGAAAAAATTCTAATTCAAAGGCTGTAATAGCTCAAAATGCCCAATAATTTCGTATCCCTACACCACTTTTATGCAAATTTAAGAACTTCATGTTTCCTTTTTTTTGTACTCCACCCATAACGTGTTCGAATACGCTTCATCAACAGAAGTTTCAGATGCTCAGAACCTACATGCCAAGAATACAAGTGCGGAAACCAAATTCAATAAAACATAGGCAGAGTATAAAGTCATGAAATGCTCGACACGTGCGCTCGGTCACTTTTGCGAATATGTATATGGCGATCCTTATAGTAAAACCGAATCGCAATCTTAGCCTCAGGCGATCACATATAGGGAAGGTGGTGGGAGATACCGCGTTGATTCAGTCTTGGGATCCTGTTCAGTGCTCCCTTAGCGGCAACGCGCTGCGAAACACGAAAAAGTCGCTTTCTGTCCAAGTCAACCACACCCCTTCACCCTGACCGTGGTTATTCATACATGTATATCTGAGAATTTACCTACCGACACCATCGCTGTCGATAACAACGTCAGATCCAAAAGTTTTTAGAAGATCCATGAGAATCTAAAAAGAACCACATGCACAGTAGAGTCGAGGCTAGCTGAAAAAGTGAAAATCCTGATGGTTAAACATATACCACGTACCGCTCTGGGAACTTTACATCCGCATCCTTTCATTGCAGTAAGCTTAGTGAGAATGAAGTCCTCAGGTAGCCCTTGAGCAACAGGGTCGAAGCCCTCCAAAATCCTATCAATCCGCTCCCGCTCCAGCGTCATCGCCTGAACATACACTCGAGCACATGTCTGACGGAAGTAAGAAATAACAAAAAAAACTTATACAGACAATCTCAAAGCTAATTTCAGTGCGCACCTTGCGATATTGCGCGTCGAACAAAATGTTGCGTCGTAATTGCACACAAAGGCTGTGCGGTACCGTATCTTGTCCTTCCCTAGAAGGATGACGCGCCCCCACCGTGGTTGTGGCTACCCTCCCGTGTTGTCCTACTCTTATCTAAGAGTCGTCGCATCTAGATAGGGACAGCTGCGGCTGGGGGCCCATACCAGACTCTTTGCACAAGAATCGAGCTGGGTGCCAGCAGATCGAACTATGTACAGCGACTCGACACTCCTTCGAACGTTGCACTTCCCTTTTTCCGGTCGACGGACTACTTGAACTCAATCCTTTAAGCTGCCTCACTCGACGCTTTCGTCTGCGCTCTCTCGCCTTATCAGCGGCTCATGACCACTGTGATCTCACACATTCAAACTTTTGCCACACTGTAGTTGGCTCACCCACCTCGGAGTTCCCTCCCCTACAAGGCTTAGTCCTAGGGCTCTCACCTTCCTCCTTGGGATTTGGAGCCGAGCCAGGCGCCGTTCTCCAGTCGTCTGTGGTCTCCGCCATTCGTGGCAGAACCAAGTACTCACGAGGGCATGAAAGAGTGAGGGGCTATGAGAGCTCGGGTAAGTGGCGAGAGTCAACATGCAAATGGGAGGGAGTCCCGCCAAATTCAAATAGTGTTGAGTCGTTGGCAGGGTGAATAACGGTCGAGGAAATCCTCGACAGGGGGTCGTATTTGCTCCGATGAGAGTTGGGAGGGGGTCGTAATCAAAAGGTTCATCAACGGACACAACGGTGCTGCTGCCACTTATTTGCTGTCATCATTAGTTTCACAAGTGTTGTAGTTAGCCTAATGCAAATAATATCTTACACCTGTCTGGAATTAAAATTCAAATGGAAAGTGGTGTTGGTTTGGTTCGTAGTGATCAGTGGCATAGGAAGGCAACGCGTCCTGCAAAAGAATCGTAGGGAAAGGGCAGCGAGTATCTACTCTAGAATGATGTACATGCTTCGAGAACTTAGTGGAGGAACAGCATCTTGGTAGAAAGTTCAAAACAGGCAGATTCGCAGCCTTCTTGGCATCATCAGATCCTGCAACCGCAAGCGTGTCATTCATCAGAACGGGTTGGAAAGGAAGCGATTTGAATAAAGGAATGATCAGACATCACTATGACCACAAGAGTTATCCTAATTAGTTAATACTGGAAATATCTTTTGGTGTGCTTAAGCAAGTCGTCACTAGGACAAAACACCTTCCCAATGACTCCGAGTGGGGTCACTGCATGGCGCATACAAGAACGGAATGGATCCGCGCCAAGTGCATCATTTTCAATTTACTCCATCGAACTGACGTGTACAGAAGTATTTTGAAGGTGTTCAAAGAAGTTCCCTACTACGGCGAGGGAGTAATAGAGTTTTCGAGTGGCTTCGAAAATTTCCTTGACATTTCCTCGACGCAGATTTCTCGCGAACTAGAAAGCGTTCGAAACAAATGGAGCACCTGTTAGAAAGCGTGAATCTTCTACTTTACAACGCTTTCGTCGGATTTTCAAAGCATTGCCAATGAAGACAGCTACTGTCTTCCTAAGAGTGGGAACTCGCATGTAAATTTCAATTTCCTCGACAATTTCTCGACGTCTCCCACTCTCGAGAATAGGTGTGCTTAGAAAAACGCTCAGCACAATTTAGAAACTAGAAGTCTTGTGCATTCAAAAGCTGCCTTCACTTTTGAAATGGTTATCAATGAAGAAAGTTATAGTCCTTTAAATAGGGGGTACATTTGACGATTTTTCCAACTAGCGCGCTCTAGGCACAGCGCGCGACGCGATCGCGGGTAGTTAGCGCCGCTATACTGGAGCGCGAGACTGTTCAACTGTGTAGGGGCAGTACCTCCTTCAATGTTCTACTTTCCGGCCAATGTGGCAAAGGTTAAATGTCTTTAAAGGAAAGAAGGAGAACCTAATCTGAGCAGAATTGAATCTAGCATTTGGATCAAGCCGCATTTGCGTGGCAGTGGCGCTGCGTCCCTCTCGCACATCTGAAACTAGCATTTTTTGATATGAAACCGGATGTGCAGAGGACAAAAAGGGGTCGTATCAGAGTCCATGTTTTGGAGGGGGGTCGTAAAGAGGCGGTTATTTCCTCGACACGATTTTCACCCTGGTCGTTGGTACACCGTTCCAATCCGTTGGCGCAACTCTGGTATCCCGCGATTCGCTAGCGAATAGCTAGATTCGCAAGGTCTGACATCGACGTAGGGGAAGGATGGGATACGGCCCCATATCTCGCCGTGTGATTGGGCGGGGTCAGTAATGACGTGGCGGCGGGCACCTGATATAACTCGGAGTGACGTGAGCTGATTTCCAATTGTTTTGCAGAATGTCCAGCAAGAAGTGTGTTGAAGCAGCTCATTGCATACGGCAGAGTCAACCCTGCGTTGCGCAGTTTTCAACGGCCACGTTGCGCAGTTTCGCCCGATTAGACACGTTCTCTCGCGCGAACATTCACACTCGCATGCTCGAGCCGTCTGCGTCTCCGCCCATACAGCGTGCGTTGAGGATCTCTCGAACGTGCCGTTGCGAACTGCGCAACGCAGGGTTGACTCTGCTCCCACGTCTTCTATTCCAAAACCTAGAGACATTCACCCGTTCTCTAATGGCTGTGCTCTAGCCATCGCAGCAGGACCATTGAGGGAGAAATCAAGTAATGCGCAAACCCCTTCTAATTACTCAACGAGACAAATGCTGCAGAGCACAGTTTCTTTTATCCCTGAGAGAGTTTTCTATCTATAGTTTGCTTTTTATCTGCCAATATCAGGGCTACTTTTGAACGAATAGTTATCAGTTTCATGATCATTCTCGGAATAGAAAACGACATAGTGACACCACCACTTTCGCCGAAGGGCGCACACGCAGAACACAGCGCCACGCCGTCTCGCGCCCTTCTCCTACCATGGGATCTGTAACGGCCACAGCTGTACAGCTACCACTTACTTCGTCGTCATCACTAATTTGAGAAGTGTTTCAATTGGCTCAAAGAAAATTATATGGACTTCTTAAAATATGAATTCAGTTGAAAGGACTTTTTAGAAGCTGTCACTCGTGGTCTGTCTGATCAGTTTAGTCACTTAGATTTGAAATCGTCAAGGAGTGAATGAAGCTAGGACAATCTATTATATAATCGATATGCCCATGAAGAAGAGCTCATTAAAGCGTGCCAAGATGGGGTTAGTCTTTGCCACGTGGTAGTGAATTATAGCACACGATATAAACGCGAACGGGCACGATTAGGATCAATTCTCGTCCAATTCTCATCGTGGCACACCGTCTCTACTTGGGGCTCGTAAT